GTTCTGGGGGGGCGGGAAGTGGGAGGGGCTAGGGCGGGGCTCCTCCCGTCCTCTTTTTTGCTTGCTGAAATATGGTAACCCTACTCATTGCTCTTTTGCTGCCAGTATTGGCGAGGTCGAGTTTTACAGGCCCAAATGGTGACTGGAACAACTGTCACAGTTGTGCTGTCCCCAAGGTATCTGCACCTGCTACTCATCCATGTTTCTAACTGCCCCGGCTTGAGTGCTGGCTCCCTGCTGGGAGACCCAGTTCTCTACACTCTTGTCCCCGAAGCCATGGAGACGTGAGTCTAACCCCACGTCTGTGCATGTTCCCTATTAACTTTCTGACGCTTAACGTCTGTTCAGTACCTTTAACGCGAATTGCTTCTCAAAAAACACTTACCCGATCTACCAGGCTCTCCTGCCATTGTGTTGAGAGGAGAATAATCTGGAAAGAAAAGAGGAACTTGTGAAGAAAAAGAGAACAGCGAGAAAGCAGGTTCAAAAACGCCAGCAGAACCTCAACCACAGCAATGTGCTCTAGGTTCCAGGGCTCTGCCCTGCCACTCACCATTAACAAGCAAGCTATCCTTGTCTAGCGTGTAGCTGTCCCCCAGCTGAGTGACTCCGTTGGTGAGATGTTTAAACTCCTCATACACTTCTTCTCTTTGAAAGGCCCTGGAGGTGCTGTCCAGCATAAATTTGCAGATGGCATTAATACCAGTGTAAGTTTTCCCGGAGATGGGCCTGGAAAAGACAAGTCACAAGCCATCAATGCAGGGGGAGGAACGCGACAGAGCATGCCGAAATGTACTAAGTGAGCTAGACCAGGAGTGTGAAACAGGGATGTAAGTCAATGGAAAAGGTGATAAACAGGTCAGGGCGGTGTTCATGCAGATCTCAGAGCAATGTTTCATTAGCCGCAGGCCGGTTTTCACCTGTAAGTTACCTCTCTTTTTAGAAAAAGAGGGAGGAGCTGCTGTTAGTCTTACAAAATTCCATTCACCCTGGACAAGTCATTTTTCTGCTGGACAAGTCAAACTCTTGCCTTCTCCCCCCAGCCCCACCCCAATTATCATCTGGGATTGTGGAGAAGGGCGGGTTAGTGGGTTTTGTGCCTGGGCTGGTCAATTTTCATTACGCTTTTGCAAAGCTGCTTAATTTTGAGTTTTAGATGTGGGTGAAATTATCTGGTTTTGCCTAGAGATGAGTTGTGCATGAAAATGACTTTCCCAGCACAAATAAAAGCACTTTTTTGGCATTTGCAGAAACATTTGAGGCAAGGCAAAAAAATCATAGAATCATAGAATATCAGGGTTGAAAGGGACCTCAGGAGGTCATCTTGTCCAACACCCTGCTCAAAGCAGGACCAATCCCCAACTAAATCATCCCAGCCAGGGCTTTGTCAAGTCTGACCTTAAAAACCTCTAAGGAAGGAGATTCCACCACCTCCCTAGGTAACCCATTCCAGTGCTTCACCACCGTCCTAGTGAAAAAGTTTTTCCTATTATCCAACCTAAACCTCCCCCACTTCAACTTGAGACCATTGCTTCTTGTTTTGTCATCTGGTACCACTGAGAACAGTCTAGATCCATCCTCTTTGGAACCCCCTTTCATGTGCTCCAGCCCCCTAATCATTTTTTGTTGCCCTCAGCTGGACTCTTTCCAATTTTTCCACATCCTTCTTGTAGTGTGGGGCCCAAAACTGGACACAGTACTCCAGATGAGGCCTCACCAATGTCGAAATGAGCGTGCGTGAATGTGATTTTCTTTTCCCTCCAGTGAACACCCTCCATTCATCTCCCTGAGGTTTGGGCTAGGGCAGACAGACGAACGCAATACCCTCAAATAACATGAACCAGCATAGGCTCCTGAGTGAGACTTTCAATAAACATTTAGTTGGAATTTAAAGAATAGCAATTCTTGTGTGACACAGCCCGTGAGAAGAGACATACCTAAAGCTTTCAACTGAACAGCCAGCGAAGTAGTTCTTGACGCTGCTATTTCTGAAAATGTTGTCAAGCTGGGTGGAAAAGGAAAAAAGAATGATTGCCATGTGGGCACAAATAGGAGTGCATCAAATTACATTTGAACAAGAGAAAGGAGTACTGGTGAAACTATAGCAGGGTGATCACCCCGCTCCGGCCCTGAAAGGGTGAAAGCAGCCCTGGAGAGGGCTGCAGCAAGGTAAGAGGGATTAAGAATGGATGGGGAAGTTGAGTGGGTCACTGACCACAACGGTGGCTGGCTTAATGAGGGCCTAGCTGGCCCTTATAAGAGGGCTGTGGGCCAGAAGCCAAGAGACAGTCTCTCTCTAGCGGTTGAGAGGGATGGGCCTGGCTGCTGGGAGCTGAGCCGGGTACCTAAAGTGGAGTAGGGCTGGTGGAAAGGCCAGAGGAGCTGGGGAGCTCCGTCCTGGAAAACCCCCAGGCTGCAGGCCTTGCTAAAGGCCGAGAAGGTACTGGGGGTTGCGGAGGGGCAGCCCAAGGGTAGGCAGAGGCAGCAGGTCCAAACCCTCCTTGCCAATGATGAGTGGCAATTACACTGCAGTCTGCCCCAGTGAGCGGGGGCTACATGGTGACTGGCAGTAGCCCAAGACTGAGGT